TGTCAACTCCAAGCATGTCTCTTGGTGTTTGATACTTATGAATAAATAAAAGAGGAAGTTTTTCAGTTCCTGTTGCATTCATGGTCAGTAAAAGGGTTATTCTTTTTTTTAATTTTTTAATACCAGAAAGAGGACCAGTTGATAATGTCTTTGAAGGTTCTAAATCCCAGAGCAAGCCCAATAAAATAAATACTTAGTTAGTCTATTATAATAATAATTATACTGAATTATTTTACCAGTTTCATCACAATTATAAACATCTTCTAAAGGAAATTCCTTAATTATTTCTTGTAATCTTCTTCTTTCTTCAGAAGGTGCAGAGCTTGCTTCACCATGCATAACATACTGCTTTATGTTACTTCTTTTCTTAACCTTTAAAATCATTGATATCTAGTAATTCGGCAAATCTTTTAGCTTTAGTGAGAATTATATCACCTGTAATTACTCTTTTATCTGAAATTGCTTGATTGAACCATATCATCAATGCACTTTCAAGATCAGGATATTTTGCAGCTTTATCTTTTTGTCTGTTGGTGTCATTAGGGTTGATAGATAACCATTTATCTTTATCTTTTAAAATCTTGCAAACAGTAGATTCTGCAATTCCAAATTTTTGACCAAGTTCTTTATATGTGAATGATGGATTTCTTTCATTAAATTCACAAAGTTGGTTTTTTTCACCCCAAGTCAAAATTTTTCTTTTTATTTGATTGATCAATTGATGACATTTTTATTTTTTTTTATTAAAATTTGAGAAAATAATTTTTAGCTGAAATGATTTTTTAATAAATTATTACAAACAAAAGTACAATTCCTAGTTCTTTTATTTATAAGAAATTCAGTAATAATTACAAGAAAATTATTTTAAACTTTTTGCGACACATTAGAACTATAAAAAAACTGACATTGAATTGTGTAACGAATATCTTGACTTTTTAATAACTCCATAACGATTTTTGGAAAATTTCTGAGATGATCACCATCACCGTTTAAAAAAACAATAAAACCGGCCTAACTGAAGAATGTCCCAAAAAGTAAATCAGAGTTTCACAGGAATGAACTGATTTCTTTAAGTATAGTATTAAGAATAGGACATGGACATGATATGACAATATGACAATGATATGAAAATGATATGATGTAGACAATGATAATGAAATTATCATTTGGATAAAATAATTTTTGGGAACAATTTTTTTACTTTTGTTGGGTGTTTGATTTAAAAAAAAGAATCAAAAATTTGATTGAAATTTGGTTCCTTTGATCCCTTGTAGATCAAATCAAATTGAAATTTTCTTTGTGATTGATTTAATTAAATAAATGTCAGTTACTTTTTGTTAATATATAAAGTATAAAGTATAAAGTAAAATTGCTACAAAATTTTATGAATTTTTGTAGAATTTGTTTAGTTTAGAACTAAGAAAAATT